TGAACTCACTTCTCCCGCCATACCCCCTTTCAACACTGTTCCACTGCCAAGGACACTCCGGCATACCCCCTCTCACGGTTCCAACTGCCAAGGACATCCCCATACCCCTGTTCAACTGTTCACACTGCCAAGACACTTCCCACTACCCCCTTCACTGTTCCCAACTGCCAAGGACACTTCACCATACCCCTTTCAACTGTTCCAACTGCCAAGGACACTCCCATACCCCTTTCATACTGTTCCAACTGCCAAGGTCACTCCCATACCCCTTTCAACTGTTCCAACTGCCAAGAGACACTCCCCATACCCCCTTTCACACTGTTCCAACTGCCAAGGACACTCCCCATACCCCTTTCATACTGTTCCAACTGCCAAGGGACACTCCCATACCCCCTTTCATACTGTTCCAAACTGCCAAGGACACTCCCCATACCCCCTTTCATACTGCCCTTCGTGGCAACTGCCAAGGACACTCCCCATACCCCTTTCACACTGTTCCAACTGCCAAGGACACTCCCCATTACTCCTTTCACACTGTTCCAACTGCCAAGGCACACTACTACTGGATTTTCAAATGTTATTATGAAATGGAATTAACAACACACATAACACATACATGCCCAGTTATAAGATTACTACATCATCGAGCACCTGTGCCACTTACATTCCAGTTCGAGCAGTTGTGGTTCCATGAGAGGCACCCCCTCCCAATTCCACAAAAGTACGATCACCATGCGTAAGATTCTATGATCATTATTTTCCTTCTTCTTGTCAGTGGGTGTATACCACTATATATAGAATCCAAAACAACCTATTAGTTTGAATCATTACGACCTATTTATATATTCCCTATTAATTGCTTTTTCTCCACTACTTATATTTTGAGAATTCACCCTTATTGGTGCAGCAGCCAAATCTGGCTTTGTTCACAGGTGAGTCTCCCAGCACTCTAGTGAGTGGGGCAAATGGCAGGCACCCTATAAATATTTAGTTGACATGCAGAGCAGCACCACACCCCAATCTACTCCTGGACTGTTCCCCTTAGTTTATGTTGTGTGTGTGTGTGTGTGTGTGTGTGTGTGTAATATCAAGAGTATTTCTAGATGCAGTATAATTCCAACGAAAAGTCTATTTAGGTATTTCATTGCTATAACATTTCCCTGATCCTTTTACCACTGATACAGAAACTGATGGCCTCAAATATATTTGAATTTGGTAAAAGACTCTTCCCCGTGTGTGGGATTTGACCTGTAGGACACACAGGAGCTCACCGCTGTAGATACTGGCAGAAGCATTGAATGGCCCTGGAGGGTCTCCTTTGCAGCCTGGAAGATTTCCTCCCACGAGAGAACAAGTCCCACTAGATGGGCACAGACGTCCTCCACAGACGGCGCCACCGGCGCCCCCCCCACGCGCCGCACGCCCCACCCCCCCCCCCTCATGGTCTGTCTCTAATACGCATTCCTAAGAAACAGGGGTAATTCAGCCATGGAAACACTGCACTCCGGGCCACAGACAACTGAAGGCTTGGCTTTAAAAGCCCAAAAGAGTCAGCCAGGCGCCAGTGGGCTTATGCGCTGTAATCCTAGCTCCTTTGCAAGGCAAGGCGGGCAGATCACTTGAGGCCAGGATTCGAAACCCAGGCTTTGGCCAATCATGCGTGAAACCCGTGTCTCCTACTAAAAATCAAAAATTAGCTGGCAGCCTGGCACGGTGGCTCATGCTGTAATCCCAGCACGTTTGGAGGCCCCGAGTGACAGATCACGAGGTCAAAAAAAAAAAAAAGTGTAAGAGTCTGCATCCTCAATACTAAAATGTAATTCCATCTTCACTGTAAGAGAAGCTTTAATACTTAAACTACAGACACCTAGAAAGATGGGGTAAAAAGAATTAAGTGGTACAGGGTACCAAATTATAGGTCCATAGGAGCCCTTGTAACAGTTAATAAACCTTTATCTTAATAAAATCGTCAGAATTTTTAATTATTTTAGAGACAGGGTCTCACTATGTTGCCCAGGCTGGAGTACAGTGGCCACCACAGGTGCAGTCACAGCATACTACCCAGAACTTCTGAGCTTCAGTGATCTTCGCACCTCAGTCTCTTGAGGAGCTGGGACTACAGGTGCCTGGTGTAGAATGTGTAAATGATGATGCAGACAACCACAAAATCTTCTCATCAGCAACGTCTGACATGTGCAATCGATTGGAAGTGTCTCAAATATATGATAAATGCCAGTGGCTACTAAGGATGGCTGACTATGGTCATGTGGTGGCAGGCCTCAAATAAAAGATAATTTTAATAATAAAATTGTATCAGCCAAGGGAACACAGAGGACTGCATCAAATACATTTGGTCACAAAATCAAAGTAGCTTAGACAGGCAGGACACATTTCCAATAGCCCATCCTCAGTGGCGTGAGACACAGCCTAGGGCAGAGCCAAAGCTCAGTCTCCTGGCACAGCAAGCCACCAGTGTTTCACTTACTTCAACTCCTGGGAGCAGGTTTCCCTCACAAACTCCATCATCACGTGTTCCATCAGCTCCACCGCCAGGCCCTGGCTCAGCTCACTTAACACCAGCTCTCTCTCTTGTTTTAACCTACAGGGAAGATAAAAGATATGCAAGGGTAATGTTTAAGAATAAAAATAAGTGCTGTTTGTTTCACTCCCTGGACATGCAGACAGGGATTGAGGTGCTGCCTGAGTCGGCAGGCCACCCCTACTCCAGCTCCCCTGACACCACCTCCCTTCCCCTGCCTCTCCTGGCTGGGAAGGGCCACTGCTCACGGGTAGGTGTGGCCTGGGGAGCTCCATCCACCCCTTGGGCTGAAGTGTAGGAGGGCATGAGTGGGTCAGCAGGGGTGGACAACAGCGGGAGCATCGCGGCCAGGGTCAGTTCTTGCCTGTGTCCACATTGAGCTCCTTATCTGTCTGCATGGACACGACACACTCACCTTTCTTCTTCAGCCCGCTGCCTCTCCTGCTCCCTTCGCTCCCTTTCCTTAGACACTTCTTCAGCTGCAATGTGCCTCAAAATGCCCGTGGTTGCAGCTGTTAACAAATCCTCCACAGCAGCATTAGAAACACTAAACAGAGCAAAGGGGATAGCATTCCAAATCAGAGGCAAGGCCGGGCGCGGTGGCTCACGCCTGTAATCCCAGCACTTTGGGAGGCCAAGGTGGGCAGATCACGAGGTCAGGAGATCAAGACTATTCTGGCCAACGCGGTGAAACCCCATCTCTACTAAAAATACAAAAATTAGCCAGGCGTGGCAGCGCATGCCTGTAGTCCCAGCTACTCAGGAGGCTGAGACAGAATAATTGCTTGGACCCAAGAGGCGGAGGCTGCAGTGAGCTGAGATCACACCAATGTACTCCAGCCTGGGCAACAGAGTGAGACTGTCTCAAAAAAAAAAAAAAGGAGAAAAAGATCAGAATAAAAAAGTCAAATCACTAAACATCTAACTTTGACAAGGAAAAAAAAACCACATAGGTTGAGTGTCCGTAATTCAAAAATCTGAAATCCAAAATGCTCCAAAATCTCAAACTTTTTGAGTACAACATGTCATGCTTTTCAAAGGAAATGCTCACTGGAGCATTTTAGAATTCAGTTTTTAGGTAAGAGATACTCAACTAGTAGACATAATACAAATATTCTGAAATCCAAAAATATCTGTAATCTAAAACCCTTGTGGTCCCAGGCATTTTGGATAAGGGATATGCAAACTGTACTTGTTTGACTGCCAGCAGAAAAATTAAGCCCACTGTGAGAAACACACAATCTACCAAAACTGACTCATGAAGAAACAGAAAAATGTGAATAGACCTGTAACTAGTAAGGAGACTTCCAAACAAAGAAAAGTATAAGACCAGAAGGTTTCACTGGTAAATTCTATTAAACACTAACGAAAAACTAACCACCAATCTTTTTCAAACCCTTTCAAAAAACTGAAGAGGAGGGAATATTTACTAACGCATTTTATGAGGCCAGCATTGCCCTAATACCAAAGACAGACCAAAGCCACTACAGGAAAACTACAGACTGACCAGGCACAGTGGCTCATGCCTGTCATCCCAGCATTTTAGGAGGCTGAGGTGGGAGGACTGCTTGAGCCCAGGAGTTCAAGACTAACCTGGGCAACATAGACAGACCCCATCTCTACAAAAAATTAAAAAATCAGCCGGGTATGGTGGCATGTGCCTGTGGTCCTAGCTACCTGGGAGGCTGAGGTGAGAGGATGGCTTGAGCCTAGAAGATCAGTGGCATGTGCCTGTGGTCCTAGCTACTTGGGAGGCTGGGGTGAGAGGATGGCTTGAGGCTAGAAGATCAAGGCTGTGGTGAGCAGTGATTCTGCTTCTGCAGTCGAGCCGAGGTGACAAAGTAAGACCCTGTCTCAAAAAAAAGGAATAAAGAAATAAAAAGGAAAACTACAAACCAATATCCCTTATGAATACGGATATAAAAATTCTCAACAAGGCCGGGTGCGGTGGCTCACGCCTGTAATCCCAGCACTTTGGGAGTCCGAGGCGGGCGGATCATGAGGTCAGGAGATCAAGACCATCCTGGCTAATACGGTGAAACCCCGTCTCTACTAAAATACAAAAAATTAGCCAGGCGTGGTGGCGGCACCTGTAATCCCAGCTACTTGGGAGGCTGAGGAAGGGAAATCGCTTGAACCCAGGAGGCGGGGGTTGCAGTGAGCCAAGATTGCGCCAGTGCACTCCAGCCTGGACAACAGAGCAAGACTCCATCTCAAAAACAAAACAAAACAAAACAAAACAAAAAAACAATTTAACCTAGAAAGCAAAAACTTTGTATGTTGAAAACTACAAAGCACTGTCGAAAGAAATTAAGAATGACCTAAATAAATGGAAAGACATCCCATATTCTCGGATTAGAAGATTTAATATTGTTAAGATGACAATACTGGCCAGGCACAGTGGCTCATGCCTGTAATCCCAGTACTTTACGAGGCTGAGGCAGGTGGATCACTTGAGGCCAGGAGTTCAAGACCACCCCTGGGCAACATGGCAAAGGCATCTCTACAAAAAATAAAAAAATCAGCCAGGCTGGTGCCCACCTGTAATCTCAGTTACTAGGGAAGCTGAGGCAGGAGAATTGCGTGAACCCAGGAGGTGGAAGTTGCAGTGAGGCTGAGATCAAGCCACTGCACTCCAGCCTGAGCAACAGAGCAAGACTCCATCTCAAAAAATAAAAAAATAAAAATAACAGTACTACCCAGAACAATCTACAGATTCAACGCAATCCCTATCAAAATCCCAACAGCACTTTCTGCAGAAACAGAAAAACTCATCCCAAAATTCGCATGGTAGCTCAGAAGACCCCAAATAGCAAAACCATCTTGAAAAAGAAGAATGTAGGGGAAAATCTTCATGATACTGTCTCTGGCAATAACTTATTGGATTATGACCCAAAAATGCAGGCAACTTTATGAGAGGAAACTTCTGGCAGAAGTTCTTTATGAGAGGAAACTTTCTGAGAGGAAACTTCTGGAGCAGCAGGAGGGGAGCACCAGATGCCACTCACCCCAGGGCAGCAGCTGCGTAGGCAGCGCCCGCAGAGCCGACTTCCTCACAGTCCCTCTGCAGAGCCTCCTGGATGAGCTCGTCCACCACCTGCGCCAGGTCCTATGGAGAGACCAGCATGGGGTGGAACGGAACGTCCCACCCAGGGCAGAAATCCTGGGTAATATGTTGTCACCAGTCTGCAGGCGTCTCATGACAGAAGCACATGACCCCTGACACGGGGTCAGCTAGGCTGTTGCAGGAAAGGTGTCCCCTAGCGAATGGAAAGGTGCCATCTGGAGAGAAGGTGCCCTGCAGATGGCCACACAGCGCCCTGGCCCAGTCATCTCCAGTCTACGTCAAGCAGCCTCTGTTCCTGTGGCCACTCCATGCTCCCTCTCAGAATTCCCCGATCCCCAGAGAGGCTGGTGCCCAGTGCCTGCCTCTAAACAGCCAGAGTGGCACAATCCAGTCTCACAACCATAGAGTCGACAGGCTCTACTCAATATCAAGGCACCAGTAGGGGCCATGCCCACCCTGAGGCCACAACAATCAAGGGGCACACCCAACCCCAGGCCAGGCTGGTCAAGGGGTTCACCCACCCCCAGGCTATGCCCATCAGGGTCCACAGCCACAGAGACCACACACACCAGAGGGGACACATCCAACCCAAGGCCATGCCTATCAGGGGGCACAGCCACCCCGAGCCATGCCCATCAGGGGGCACACCCGCCAGGGGACACACCCACCCCAGGCCACACCCATCAGTGGGGACACCCAACCCCAGGACATGCCCTTCAGGGGACACACCCACACTCAGTCCATGCATATTGGGGGGCCACACCCACCAGGGGGACATGCCCACTCCAGGCCACACCCGCAGGGGACACACCCACCCAGGCCACACCCACCAGAAGGACATGCCATCCCAGGTCACACACATCAGGGGGCGCACAATGCTGTCAACAATCCCGTCAGAACAGACGGGTGTTGAGTTCAGACACAGGGGCTCAGGCCGGTGCTGTGACAGGAAGCTCCTGAGATGAAGACAGACTCCACAACGAGTCTGAATGGGCGGGCCCCAGATCTGCCACCGGAGGCTGAGTGACTCTAGGCAGGACCCCTCTCTGGACTCTCCTGAGAGACCAGGCGCCACAGCCCCACTTCGTGGGGTGATGACTAAGGATATTTGTGCACAATGGGCTTCCCAGAGTCCAGACCTAGAAAAAAAGAGTCCCTACCTCGTCAGAGTACATGGGCACAGGCTCTGGAGGTGGCGGCTCAGGCTGCACGGAGAGCTGGAAGAGGCTGGGTGCCGCAGACGGGGTCAGTGCCAGGACAGGAGGCAGAGGCACTGGCGAGGGTGCAAGGGCTGGTAGAGACTGTGGGAGACCGGGCAGGGGTGTGTCCGGCTCTACACCACACTCCTCTCCTCTCCCTCCACCTGGAAGGAAACATACAGGAGAAAACATGGCTGCAGACACAGGGCGCCTGGCACCACAGGGACCAAGGTCTGTGCAGGGACAGCCCCAGGCCACCCACAGTGACCCTGAGGAGTGGCCTGCCCTCCAGGAGACCAGCTACACGGGACAAATACGCTTTGCATGAAAAACAAGCCCCAAGATGTCAGGGAGCCAGGAGGAGGGCTTCAAAGCCCTCAGTCCATTCCCAGTGAGAACCATCTGAGCATGGGGAAGAGCCACACCCCTGGGCCCCAAGACAAAACAGGTGCTCAGGCTCCTGGGAGGCGTCCCGGCAGGCAAATGCAGATGCCCAGGCTCCTGGGAGGCGTCCTGATGGGAAAATGCAGCTAGTCCCCTCACTACGACTGCAGCTTCACTCACCCACTGTGTCCGAGCCGGGTCTCTGGGTGCCGACGGGCAGCTCCGCGGCCAGACTCTCCCCGATGTACTTGTTCTGGGAGTTGAAGCTGCACACAGGGGTGTGACAAGGAATGGGGGGCAAGGGCCCTCCGTTCACAATTTCACCAACCGACACCGTCAGCTTCCTGGTAATAAACACCGACTTCCTGGTCTTGGATAATCCCTCTGGTTCCAGGAATGCGGCCCGGTTCAGCTCCACACAGCTACACAGACCAAAAGAAGACCCCAGAGGGGCGTCACCAAGGGAGAAGGCAGCTTCACCCTCAGTGCCCCGCTGAGTGCTGCAAGCCCCTCAGGCGTCACCACAGCCATGTATAAATAACAGAAAGCAGAGGCCTGGGTCCCACTGCCGCACCCTGGAGCCTCTGTAGGTCCCTGGAACCACTGAGCCCAGCGTGTTAACAGACGCATGCTGACTCACTCCTGCCTCCTTGCTGGCTCACCCAAAACCACCTTGTTTTGTGAGGCAGAACTGGAAGGAGGAGACAGGCAGGGGGCAGGTGAGGAGTTACAGGAGGCAGGGTGGGGACCCAGGCACTGGGTATGGAGTGTAAGCTGCGGGTTTCTGAGACAGCATCTGTGAGTCTCACCACTCTGACTACTAAGTACCGGAGAAGACTCCGGCCTGGCCTGCAGGTGCCTCCATCCCCACCGTCACACGCTGCCCGTCATTGGCTGGCAAAGGCAGTCAAGGGAAAGAATAAGGAAGGCCCTAACTTCTATCTTTAGGTTCGTTGGCAACTCATGAAAAGGACTGATTCTGGAGTCACGAAGAACTTGGTCTGAGCCCTCAATGTGCAGACAGCCAGGGTGTGACCTTCGGAACACCCCCAGCCATTCTGAGTCTCATGTGTTCACCTGCATGGCAGGGGGAATGCACCTTCTTCAAGTCAGGCAAGCAGAGAGTCCCTCACAGTCCTTTATCAGAATTAACAAGAAAAAAGGAGACAGGGGCCCCGCAGTTCCACTCTCAGCTCTTACCCGTCGGAAACGGTGAGGCCATGGCAGGTGAGGAAGTCGGTCGCCTCTTCGCAGTCTCTGAACAGCAGCATGCGCACCACGCCATCCAGGGGAAAGACGGTGGCTCGCTGTGTGCTCACCGTGTACGCGAAGTTGAGCGCCCGGAGAGCATCCTTGCGGATCTGAAAGGAGGAGCCAGATCACTGCAGTCTCAGAGGAAGGCCCAGTCAGACACTTGCAGTCAGCCCATGACCACAGACATGGCCAGCATGGGAGGCATGGGCTCCTCCTGGGCTGAGTCCACCAGAAGGCGCTTTGGCAACATGAAACCCCAGCTTAGAGATCGTACGCGTTCTGCTCGGGGCAATGCTCAGGAATGCGTGCCAAGCAAACACTCTCATAGAGAAGGATGGCTTGTGAAAGTTTTATTTATAACACAAATCATGAAACAAACTGTCCACCAACAAGGCCAGGTGAAGTCAGCTGTGCAGCATCCACATGATAAAATGCCAGGAAGGTGCTACAGAGGACCCCAGAGACCATGGAATGCCAGCAGGAAACCAACCCCGTGGAGTGACATACAATAGTTGGAGACAACTGTTCATGGCATTCTAACAAGAGCCTTAAAAAAAAGAAGACAGAGGCCAGGTGCAGTGGCTCACACTTGTAATCCCAGCACTTTGGGAGGCCAAGGTGGCAGGATCGCTTGAGCCCAGGAGTTCAAGACCAGCCTGGGCAACATAGCTACATCCTATTCTCTACAAAAAAAAAAAAAAATGGTTTAATTAGTGGGGCTTGGTGGCATGCACCCGTGGTTCCAGCGACATCGGAGGCTGAAGTGGGAGACCTGCTTGAGCCCAAAAGGCTGAGGCTGCAGTGAGCCTTGATCACACCACTGCACTCCAGCCTAGGTGACAGAGTGAGAACCAGTCTCTTAAAAAAAAAAGACAATGGGGCTGGGTGCGGTGGCTCATGCCTATAATCCCAGCACTTTGGGAGGCCAAGGTAGGCGGGTCACTTGAAGCCAAGAGTTTGAGACCAGCCTGGCCAACATGGTGAAACCCCGTCTCTCCTAAAAATACAAAAATTAGCTGGGTATGGTGGTAGGCACCTGTAATACCAGCTACTAGGGAGGCTGAGGCAGGAGAATCGCTTCAACCCAGGAGGCGGAGGTTGCAGTGAGCCGAGATCATACCACTGCCTTCCAGCCTGGGTGACAGAATGAGACTCCATCTCAAAAAATTAAATAAATAAAAATAAAATTAAAAATAGACAAAGGAAAAACATGAAAATGCTAACAAAAATTATGCTTGAGTGCTGGGACTTTGGTGCCTAAGCTGTTAGTCCTCTTCCGATGTTCTTGAATTCAACCAACATTGATCGAGCATTTGCTCTGTGCCTGGCACCGTTTTTAACGCTGAGAGTTCAACAGTGAACAAAAACAAACTCCCTGTCCCCACGTAGCTGACATGCCAGGGGAAAGACCAGTGCAACAGAAAATGAACTCATCAAACACACAGAACGGTGATTCAGTGTGGCAGATGGGCAGGGAGAACAGGGAGCACTGGTGGGGGCCCTGCTGAGGGCGGCAGCCAAGCCTCACCTGGCCTCAGGGAGGTGGAGACAGCGCCGTGCGGCTATGCGAGTGCAGAACAGCAGTGGGAGCAGCAAGCACAAAGCCCCTGAGCAGGAGTGCACGGGGTTGCGGGGACAGGAGGCTGCTTCTGTGCGCCACTGCTGGTGAACAGTTTTTCTAAAGAAAAATACCTGAATATCTCTTTTGTTTAAAGTTATTAAAAATGGCCAGGCAAGGTGGTTCACGCCTGCAATCCCAGCACTTTGGGAGGCCAAAGCGGGTGGATCACCTGAGGCTAGGAGTTCGAGATCAGCCTGGCCAACATGGCAAAATCGCGTCTCTACTAAGTTAGCTGGGCATGGTGGTGGGCTCCTGTAATTCCAGCTACTCAGGAGGGAGGCTTAGGCAGGAGAATCGCTTGAACCCAGGAGGTGAAGGTTGCAGTGAGTAGAGATCGCGCCACTGCACTCCACCCTAGGCAACAGAGCGAGACTCCATCTCTAAATAAGTAAAATTTAAAATGGTCAACATTCTACTAACACTCAATCATCGTGTATACAGTATTAACTATACTTTTTTTAATTTTTTTTTTTTTTTTTTTTTTTTGAGAGAGAGGGTCTCTGTCACCCAGGCTAGAGAGTGCAGATCTTGGCTCACTGCAGCCTCAACTTCCTGGGCTCAAGCGATCCTCCCACCTCAGCCTCCCAAATAGCTGGGACTACAGGAGCATCCCACCACACCTGCCTGGCTGATTTTTTTTTTATTTTTAGTAAATAAAAAAAAGCTCAGGCTGTTCTTGAACTCCTGAGCTCAAACAATTCTCCCAGCTCAGTCTCCCAAGGTGCCAGGATGACAGCTGTGAATCAAAGCACCCAGTCAAAATTAACTACAAGTGGCAAGTTGTGGAAACCCTTTTCCTTTACTCCAGAGTATCAGTTCTGTTTGGAAACCTGCAGATCTGACAACAAGGAGCAAACCTGCAAAAGACCCTCCAACCGTGACATGACTGTGGATTTAGTCACTGTTTACAGGAGGCCCTGATGTGTGACCAAAGAAATGACCTGGAGCCACAGACTGACCTAGGCAGGTCCTGAGATCTCCCAGGCAGCATCCCCCCCACGCAGTGATCACTACGGGCTCGTGGCAAGGAATCCAGGCAGCCTCATTGACGCCGCTGCCGGAATGGGCAGCAGAGTGCGTGCGAGGTAAGGTGGCACTCTGCACGGTGGGCCATGGTCCTGGTCACATCGCACTGAACGCAATCACGCAGGACCTAGAACAGCAGGTGCCACAGGGGCTGCTCTGTCCTCATCCCCAAGTCCCATGGAACTGGAATAAAAGAACTGACTGGAAACCCCGAGACACAGAATTTACTCTGCGCAAACCTCAGGGGAGGGACTGGCCTTCCCATTGCTTCTGCAACCCTAGCACGCGGCAAAGCAGACACTGAGGCACCCACCAAAGGAACTTAGCGCCATCAGCCTCACTTCAGAAACTTCAATTTAAAACACAAAGCATTTCAAAGTCAGGGACTGTGTGCGTATGAACCATTTCAAAGTCCGGGACTGTGTGCATATGATATGAGATTTTTGCTTTTCAGTTAGTTTTCATGGATGATGACAGTGCTGAATTCCTTTTTTTTTTTTGAGATGGAGTCTCGCTCTGTTGCCCAGGCTGGAGTGCAGTGGCCGGATCTCAGCTCACTGCAAGCTCCGCCTCCTGGGGTTTAAGCCATTCTCCTGCCTCAGCCTCCCGAGTAGCTGGGACTACAGGCGCCCGCCACCTCGCCCGGCTAGTTTTCTGTAATTTTTTTTAGTAGAGACGGGGTTTCACTGGGTTAGCCAAGATGGTCTCAATCTCCTGACCTCGTGATCCGCCCGTCTCGGCCTCCCAAAGTGCTGGGATTACAGGCTTGCGCCACTGAGCCCGGCCTACAGTGCTGAATTCATATTGTTTCGCTAAAGAGATTTTTCTCATTTGAACCATAGAACAGTGTTTTCCATTTCACAGCCTTTCCGGATGGAGACCAACAGTGATAACCCCTATAAAACAGGGCAACACCAGTAACCCCTTCGTGGGGCTGCTGCCAGGGAGACACGTCATCAGCCTGAGACCTGCTTTGAAAAGCCTGGAACAGGAAAGCACTCGAATAGCACAAGAACAACCTGCTGTCTTCCAACTCTGCAAGCTCAGCTCATTTACTCACCTGACTGAAGTAACAGTGTAAAAGACAAGCATTCAGGTAAGAAGCTGACTGGACCAGTTTGAAAAATCTCACAAAATTATTACTGTTCAATGCAGCAAAAGCCTGAACAGCAAATTTCACCTCGGAGGAGTTTCTAACAGCAGGATGGAACTGTTGTACTTCTCTGTTAATTAAAGGAGAGAAAAGGGGTTGGAATGTTAATTTTAATGAGACAAAATTTTCACGAAGATAGATCTGATAAATAAAAACTTCGCTGGCCAGATGCAGTGGCTCACGCCTGTAATCCCAAAATGTGGGGACACCAAGGTGGGAGGATCGTTTGAGCCCAGGAGGTTGAGGCTGCAGTGAGCTGTGATCGCATCACTGTACTCCAGCCTGGGTGACAGAGCAAGACCGTTTCAAGTAATAACGATACTGGATTTCAACCATACTGAGAAGGAGGGTCTTACTGGTAAAATGTGCCGTTAAATTCAGTTTACTAACTTCAAAGCTACCACGCTTGGGCTGGTTTGACAAAGGTTTCTTTCAAAACAATAATGAATAAACAAATTCAAAAAGCAATTTAGGCATCAGTTATCAAAAAGTTAAAGTAATGCCAATCGACTGTTAGCTGTGCTGGGTGGTAAAGTCTGAAAAACAGAAAACTTAACACTTTTTGTTTAGAAATGAACTGATTTTGACTGAATTATTCGTGATGAAGAAATGCTTGTCGTGTAGAAAAAGACAATATAGCAATCTTTCATAACCAGTTTTTTTTTTTTTTTTGAGACAGAGTCTTGCTCTATCGCCCAGGCTGGAGTGCAGTGGCGCAATCATAGTTCACTGCAGCCTCAACCTCCTGGCCTCAAGCAATCCTCTCATCTAGGCCTCCCAACATGCTGTGATAACAGGCCATGGGCCACCACACCTGGTCTTTCTTTTTTTTTTAAGAGATAGGGTCTTGCTTTGTCACCCAGACTGGAGTGCAGTGGCATGATCACAGCTTACTGCAGCCTTGACCACCTGGGCTCAAGGGATCCTCCCACCTCAGCCTCCCCAGTAGCTGGAACTACATGCACACATCACCACACCTGGTGTTTTTGTTGTTTTTGTTTTTGTTTTGTAGAAGGGTCTCACCATGTTGCCCACGCTATACAAGGCTTAATTTTAAAATTTAAAATCAGCCGGCACGGAGGCTCATACCTGTAATCCCAGCACTTTGGGAGGCTGAGGCAGGTGGATCACCTGAGGTCAGGAGTTCCAGACCAGCCTGGCCAACATGGCGAAACCCTGTCTCTACTAAAAATACAAAAAAACTGGCCGGGCGCGGTGGCTCACGCTTGTAATCCCAACACTTTGGGAGGCCGAGGTGGGTGGATCACGAGGTCAGGAGATCGAGGCCATCCTGGCTAATATGGTGAAACCCTGCTCTACGTTAAAAACTACAACAAAATACGGCCAGGTTGGTGGCGGGCGCGCTGTGTCCCAGCACTCCGGAGGCTGAGGCAGAGACGTGGCTAAACCGCGAAGGCGGAGCTTGCAGTACTAGATCGCCGCCACTGGCACTCAAGCCTCGGGACAACAGGAGGGCAAACTCCATACAAAAAAAAAAAAAAAATTAGTGGATGGTATGCCTGTATCCCAGCTACTCGGGTGGGTAACGAGGCAAGAAAATGCTTGAAAACTCCGCGGGAGGCAGGTGCAGCGAGCCGATTATCACACTAACGTACTCCAGCCTGGGGCACCAGGAGCAACTCGTCTCAAAAAAAAAATAAAAATTTAAAATCAATCACACATCTAGATATTCTGCCACACAGTTCTTGAGGAAAATACGAAACTAAAAAAAAAGAGGTCCACCATTGATAGGAGAATCTCAGAACTAAAGGGAACACTGGCCACCATCAAGCTCGGCTTACCACCACCACAAGCAGAGGGCCAGAGAGCTCGCCAGTAAGTGTCTAATTATGGCTCAGACCAGGGTTTTATATTCATTCATTCTCACTACCCCATTCTTAGCATTTTTGTTTCACACAATTTTTTCCTCTCGTATTACTTAGATCTTTGACAAAACTACCTGGAAACAGGGAACTGCTGACAACCTGGAACTCCCTCTCCTGGTTCACTCACCTGTCTCATGAGGAGGATTCCTTCCTCACTTTCTCACTGGTGAGGAGAAACTGTTCTCAGAAATGAACATGTGGGGCCTACGTCAGATGTGCTGGTCCCAGGGCACACCCCCATCACTCTTCCCCCAGCTCAGCTCAGCCGAATGCACAGCCAGACCGAGGTCCTCTACTATCATCCCAACATCTGCTAACAGAGAGAACGCAGCACTGCTGGCTACTGCCAATCCTGAAAGCTCTTCTCCTGTTTAAAGCCTGCCTTTTCAGCCACCTTAGGGCAACTTCTGGATGTGAAGATTCACCTTAGGATGTCTCCCTTGTTGAGACTGAGCAGAACATTGTAGCCCTGGAACTCCGCTTCGCTGGCACAGAAGACGCCCTTGTTTCTCAGGTCCTGGTACATCTCCTTCAGGCTCTGCAGGCACTTGGTCATGTTCTCATTATTGATCTTGGCATCAAAGGAGGACATGGGCTCCTCACACATGAAGTGGGCACAGTGGATGTGAAACCGGGTGCACTTCTCAATCAGGGACACCGTCAGGGGGTCGCAGAGGTGCTGCTGTGTGATATCCTGGCCACAGGCGAGGGGGAGGATCACACACACATTCCCATGCAAAGAGGCAACTGTGAGAAAGATCATGCTGCGACCTCAATTTCTCACATTTCAATTTGAAACAAAGCCCATGATGCACATTTTAATAGGACTTTGTAGTGACTTAAATAAAAGTCCTTGGGTTTTGTTTTTTTTTTTTTTTTTTTTTGAGACAGACGCCAGGCTGGAGGCGCAGTGGTGCCATCCTGGCTAACCACAACCTCCGCCTCCTGGGTTCAAACAATTCTCCTGGCTCAGCCTCTCGAGTAGCTGGGATTACAGGCGTGTGCCACCACGCCAAGCTAATTTTTACATTTTCAGTAGAGACGGGGTTTCACCACGTTGGCCAGGCTGGTCTCAAACTCCTGACCTCAGGTGATCCACCCACCTCGGCCTCCCAGAGTCCTGGGATTACAGGCCTGAGCCACCGCACCCGGCCCACAAAAGTACATTTTTGTTACAGATAAAATATATAACAGAGTAAAATAAAAATAACTATCAGTTTGACTTTGGAATTTGCATGCATTTTTTAGTGTCCAGGTTGGAGGCAGCCAATACCTTCCGTATGCCACGCGTGCGGTTCCACACGAAGTCGTACCAGTCGCGCAGGCTGCCCTCCTTCTGGTCCATGATCTGGGTCACCAGGTAGTCCATGGTCCTGCTGAGCACTGGCAAGGGCCGCAGCTCGTGGGGCAGGGGCTCCTCCTGATCCGCCGAGGACCGACTGTACTCTTTCACGGCTGCTGCGTGGTCCACCTAGAGACATGATGCAGAGACAGGCTGCCCATGTGGCATACCTCGGGCCAGGCATAGTTATGCCTGAAAATGAGGGGGAAAATCACATACACACCCACACAAGATCAGTATTTGAGAATATATTTTTTCAACATAAAATTTCTGTTAAAAGGTGACAATCAAAATTCAAAGACAAATTGAGAAATGTGACTTTGGCAAATATGACAAGGAGTTAAGATACGAGCACGTCACGACAAACAGGAGGAATGTAAGTGAAGGCACATCTGCCAGGCTCCAAAGCAGAGAGACGGGACAGGAAAGGGCCTCCAGCATTTAAAAGGTCTCAGGTCTGCTCACACACCCGGTTAAGTCTACACAGACCAGAAGTGAAACAGAGACAGGCAGTGAGGACTGCTGAGGGCACAGCAGCAGGGGCCAGCTGCCCACCTGGGGCCAGGAGCTACATCTCCCACCTCAAAAGGAGGCCAAAGACGTGGCCAAGAGAAGAGGCAGAGACGTACACAGGACGAGCCCCTGGGCATTGCCCTCTCCTGGCGCAGGGGCCCTACAGTGACACAAGTTGCTGGGCTGGGGACCCCAAACCAGGCGAAGGGTGTATAAAGCCACCAGCCAGGAAGTGGAGGAGGAGCCCACAAGCAAAATTCACAGAGTCCAAAAGGATCTATATTGGTGCAGCTTTCTAGGGAACTAATTTGGGAAGATTGATAATGTTCAGGAAAGGTCATACCCTCTGATGCAGTAATTTAATTCTTAGGATCTGAAGAAAATAATCTAAATACCAGAGAAGCATTACATATAAGATGCCAAACAATATTATTAATAGAACTAAAAATTTAGAAACAGCCTATCTACTAATGGTAAAAATGCAGTTTTGACAGAGCTACTAATAAAATAATATGCTGTCATTTTTAAATGCTCATAGTTTACCCTAACAAAGGAAAATGTTCATGACAATTTTTTTTTTTTTTTTGAGATGGAGTTTCACTCTGTTGCCCAAGTTAAGAGTGCAGTGGTGCGATCTCAGCTCATTGCCAGCTCCACCTCCCGGGTTCACGCCATTCTGCTGCCTCAGCCTCCCAAGTAGCTGGGCCTACAGGCGCCCGCCACCACGGCCAACTAATTTTTTGTATTTTTAGTACAGACAGGGTTTCACCGTGTCAGCCAGGATGGTCTCGATCTCTTGACCTTGTGATCCGCCCGCCTCGGCCTCCCAAAGTGCTGGGATTACAGGCATGAGCCACCACGCCCAGCCTCGTGACATAATTTTAAGTGGAAAAAATACACATAAAATTGTATCTAGAGCATAACCTTGAATGTGTAAAACATAAGCATAGAAACAGACAGGAATAAGATTGTAAAAAGAAAAAAGTTAGCCGGATGTGGTGGCTCACGCCTGTAATCCCAGCACTTTGAGAGGCGGACGTGGGCAGATCACTTGAGCTTAGGAGTCTGGGACCAGCCTGGGCAAGACCCCATCGCTTCAAAAACTACGACGATAACTGGGCATGGTGGAGCATGCCTGCAATCCCAGCTACTCTGTAAGCTGAGTGAGATGATCACCTAAGCCTGGGAAGATGAGGCTGTAGTGAGCCATGACTGGACCACTGTGCTCCAGCCTAGGTGACAGAGTGAGACCCTGTCTCAAAAAAAAAAAAAAAAAAGAAAAACAACTTTATTTAAAATAACTTGCATCTATACCTTATCATGTTATCATGTATAGGTACCAATTACAGAGTGAACATCTCACAATGCAAAACAGCTTAATATGATGGTTAATAGCACCAATACCCAACACTCTCTAAAACAAACACCCAAATCAAGTAGGTACAGAAATGACAAAAGCAGCCCCATCCCCTGCACACCCTGCCCACTCCACAGGGAGATGCAGGGCTCTACCTGGTCAGTCCCTGGGACCACTTCGAATACACTCAGCTGGCTACGGGTCTCCCGCATGTACCTCTCCTTCTCAGGACACATATCCAGGCAGGTCCCAACAAAAGTCCTCGCTTTGTCCAGATCGGTTCTCTTCACCCGAGCTAAGTGACGTCAAGTAAAAGGTAAGAATGTACCACATGGTTAGCACAAACCTACAGACGTGTATTCTCATAATGATAAAAAGAAATTAAAACACACACACACATTACAAAAGAAAAGAAAAAGATTTGTAGAACTCTGAGCCTCAGAGAAAGAGGACTTATGTTCTATTCTGCCAGGCAGTGGGACATCAAAACTCCCGAAGACCCGAGTCCACCTCTCCAACAGTCACAGACCCTCACTGCAGACAAAAGCACGGGAGTGTCCTCACTTTCAGCCGGAGTTTTCTAACTCCTGTAATGACCTCAATGACAAAAAATCATGGTGCAGGATGTTTACTAAAAGGATTGACTTGTAACAACTGCAAATATTCAAAATATATCACTATTCTAAAACTCTGTCTCGGTATTCACCATGACTTTAATATAGGAATCATATAATGAAAGTTAACTGGGTTCTTACCTGAATAACTTCTATGATTACACTTAGAATTAAAGAGTTACAAATGTAGCTTGCAAGTAAATGGAAATGCAACAACTTCACAACTAAAAATATATACTTGTTTTTATTTTGAAAAATTCTAATACCTGTGCTGGGCCTGGTGGCTCACGCCTGCAATCCCAGCACTTTGGAAGGCCAAGGCTGGCAGATCACCTGAGGTCAGGAGTTTGAGACCAGCCTGACCAACACAGAGAACCCCTATTTCTACTAAGAATACAAAAATTAGCCAGGCAGGGTGGCGCATGCCTGTAGTCCCAGCTACTCAGGAGGCTGAGGCAAGAGAATCACTTGAACCTGGGAGGCGGATATTGCAGTGAGCCAAGACTGCACCACTGCACTCCAGCATGGGTAACAGAGCAAGACTCCATTTCGAGGAAAAAAATTAAAAAAAGAAAAATTCTAACACCTAATAATTTCATTTGGAATATAAAAATCACCATCATCAATGATATGATGTATGATGGCAGTTTTTATTACTATATATATCACTATATTAAGGAAACAAGGTGATTAATCGAAATATCCACAGCTTTTAAAAAAAGGAAACTCCTATAGCTGAATTTTTTTTTTTTTTTTTTTTTTTTGAGATGGAGTCTCACTCTATCGCCCAGGCTAGACTGCAGTGGCGCAATCTTGGCTCACTGTAAGCTCTGCCTCATGGGTTCAAGCAGTTCTCCTGCCTCAGCCTCCTGAGTAGCTGGGATTACAGGCATGTGCCACCATGCCCAGCTAATTTTCTATTTTTAGTAGATACCGGGTTGCTCCATGTTGGTCACGCTGGTCTCAAACTCCTGACCTCAAGTGATCCACCAGCCTCAACCTCCCAAAGTGCTGGGATTACAGGCGTAAGCCACCACGTCCAGCATTTTTTTTTTTTTTTTTGAGACAAAGGCTCATCCTGTTGCTCAGGCTGGAGTGTAGTGGCACAATCTCGGCTCACTGTAACCTCCGCCTAGCCAGTTCAAGTGATTTTCCTGCCTCAGCCTCCCTAGTAGCTGGGACTACAGGTGTATACCACCGCATCCAGCTAATTTATTTATTTATTTATTTTTTTGTAAAGATTGGGGTTTTGCCATGTTGGCCAGGCTGGTCTTGAACTCATGACCTCAGGTGGTCTACATGCCTTGGCCTCCCAAAGTGCTGGGATTACAGGCGTGAGTCACCACACCCAGCTCGGCTGAAATTTAAGAGAATAAAATTGACAAAGAGGAGCACCTGTGTTTTTTCCTTTTATTTTTGGTCCCTGCATATATTTTTAGTGTTAATAGAATACTTACTTTTTAGTAGGTAATACATTCACACAGTTCAACATTGTAACAGTGTAAGGGTGCCCTGTCCGAGATGGAGCACTCCGCCATAACCTCTGCCCTTCAGCATCTGCTCCCTCTACAGACAGAAGTCCATTCTTTTGCATCCTCCCACTGCTATTTTATACATACATTAGCAAACATATTTGCACATATATGTACACATACACACAACACTCACTCCAAGAAGACTGGCAGACCATGAAGATCAGACACAGCACATCAGAGGCCCTGAGACTCAACAGCAATAGAGCCCAATGGAAAGGAGTTGCTCCTGCCCTGATGGCACCCAAGACGACGACCTCACCAGGCCCTTAGAACCTCTGCCACCACGTGCCATACCTTGCCGCATGATCCTGTCTCTCTGGTCAAGCAGGCGGTACTTCTCCTTGGACGTCTCAGCCACAGTGCCTATCAGGGTACTGAGGGACAGCACACATGGCCCGAGGCCCTCAGAGCCGTCAGAGGCTGAGTCAAAAGAGTCTCCCTCGAATTGGTGGGCCTTTAGAAGACTTGGCTTCTTCACTGGAGAGCTATAAAGTAAACACCACACTGAGGGCCCTCATAACAGGAAGGCCTTCAGAGCATTTTCGTTTCTGAACACGTCCCCTCATCTTTCAAGATTTTATGGTCATCTAAAGCTGAGAAACTACAAGCACTTATTGAGTTTTGATAAAGATGGTAATAAACACAAAACCGTTATTCACATTATTCACTGACTTTAATATAATTTTGAAATATTTCATACTTTTGAAAAACAAAATAGCCTGGGCAACATAGAGAGACCCCATCTCTACAAAAATTTAAAAATCAGCCAGGCATGGTGGCATGTGCCTGTAGTCCCAGCTACTTGGGAGGCTGGGGTGAGAGGATTGCTTGAGCCTGGCAGGCAGAGGTTGCAGTGAGCTGAGATTGCACTGCTGCTCTCCAGTCTGGGTTACAGAGTGAGGCTCCAAACTTACCACCCCCTACCAAAAAAAAGATAGGCACATTTAAACAGCTAAAAGGAGCACTTACTGATTCCTATCTCGAAGAAATGAAACTCAGCATGAAAAAAATCTTTAATATCATAAGGAAATATTATGCCTACATGTTTTAAAACAGAAGTTTATTTTCGTAGGACATACTAAAAGGAATCAGGCATTCTCCCTCAGTATCCCCATTTTCTAGCTTTCATCATTTTCTGAACTTGAATGTCAAAGATTATGTCAAACCAGCAACTAAACTGCTCATCACAAAATGGAAAATGAGGAAAATACACGGGCCAAAAGATGAAAAGATGGATTCAGCCGGAGACCTGTCAAAGTAGGTCTGGTGTGAAAAGGAAAAGCCTTTGAGAACAGAGTTCCCCAGACAGATGAGGTAGCCAGGGCAGTTCACATCATGTGCCGGCTAACACAACTAACACGGCCAACCGTGTCTGCTTCACTGTGATAAGCTGCACCTACAAAAAGTCATGCTGCCCTTCCTTTAAGTGACAGCTTTTTTAAAAAAAAAAAAAAAAAAGTCATGCTGGAAACTGGAAACTGCTGTAAGTGATTATCAGAAATGCATGGTTTGACCGGGCATGCATGTCTAGTCAGGAGTTCGAGACCAGCCTGGCCAACATGGTGAAACCCCATCTCTACTAAAAATACAAACATATTAGCTGGGCATGGTGGAACATGTCTGTAATCCCAGCTACTAGGGAGGCTGAGGCAGGAGAATTTCTTGAACCCAGGAGGCAGAGATTGCAGTGAGCCAAGATCATGCCACCGAACTCCAACCTGGGCAACAAAGTGAGACTCTGTCTCAAAACAAAAAGAATGCATAGTTTACTACAGCCACTTAAATGCCTTGAGAAAAAAGTTATTGCTTATACATTTATATGTCAAGTGGAACTGCACTCAACTGCAGTGGGATTCAGGACAAGTTAGATGAGCAAGGAGATTTGCTACTACAATCCTGTGAGGCAGGCAGCGACCCGTCACAGGGCGCCAGCCTGCGTGTGTCCCACAGAGCAGGCACTCTGTGCAAGGACAGAAGTTCTGCTGTCCTAAGTGAGCAGCCTCCCCTGGATCTCCTGTAGCTGCAGTTGAAAGGCCTACACCAGCTATAACAACTGTGTGATGAGATTCTCCCATAGAAAATGCCAAGTGGAAACAAGAAAAAAAGGCCAGCTCCAAAGGAAGGCTTTCTCAGCAACCTTGGCCCTAGGGTATGTGAGAACAAGACAGGACAGAATCACTGCTGTCCACCATCTCTACAGCTGACAGGTACCAGTGTCAGAAAATTCTCTCTTCTGGCTGCGACCACCAGCCTCACACAGACCCACCTCCTCATGGCCCATGCTGGCTGGAGGGGCAGAGCCCCTGCCCTCCACCCTCAGCCATCCTGGGCAACTGGCTTTTGTCTCCTCACCACTCTCCACAGTCTTGCACCCTGACTCATGTGTCACTGCAGGGCGCTATTTCCTGGTCCTTCCCAAATAAGGTCATTAGGAGGGACCGATCCCACCTTTTATTCAGGAGGCTGCTAGCACCAGCCCTCCCTGCGGCCTTGCCAAGAGGAGAGTGCTGAAAGGGTGCATCCTCTGTGCTCGGGCTGACTTCACCATCACCTGGTTTCTTCTCCTTCAGGGAAAAGGGTTTCTTATTGGGGCCTGTGGACACAGGAGGTAGAAAAGAGTTTATGCAATCATAGATCACCTGGTACTGGACTTTTTCACTCTGTTTCTGAGAAAGTAATATTATTTTCACTGTCACAGGAGGTTAGAGAAGAGCCCAAGGAAATAACTGTGAGATGCAAATCCACTCAGAGCCAGCCTCCCCCACTGGCTGGGGAAAGGGCTCATGCTCAAAGGGTTTGGACCAAGAGCATGAGAAACTGAAAAGAGGGCCGTGCACAATGGCTCATGCCTGTAATCCCAAGATCAGACTGGGCAACATAGCAAGATCTCATCTTTATTAAATAAATAAATAAATAAAAATAATTTTCTTAAAAAGTGAAAAGAATAATTGAAAACTCACTTATTTTCTTCCTGTGCCAAAAGATAGCCATGTCTTTATGCAAACTTTTCCCCTTCTTTCTAGCCAGGGCTGCAGATGCCTGGAAAACAGTCCACAACCACCAAGTGTGAGTACATCAGGAAACCAAAGGAAATGGGATTGAAAACTCAAATGCAGTAAGCACAACAGACCATTCAAAGGCACCAGGAGCCGGCGTCCTTTGCACGACAGTGATTCCTCCACCCACACGTCTGCTGCTTGCATGGTCTCTGGCTGTGGCAGCAGCAGGATTCATCTCCCTTACCTGTTTCACCAGCATGTATTTGCTCTTCCCTCTTTTTTTTTGTTTTTTTTTGAGACAGAGTCTCGCTCTGTTACCCAGGCTGGAGTACAGTGGCGAGATCTTGGCTCACTGCAAGCTCCGCCTCCCGGGTTCATGCATTCTCCTGCCTCAGTCTCCTGAGTAGCTAGGACTACAGCGCGGCCCGCCACCTCATGCCCGGCTATAATTTTGTATTTTTAGTAGAGACAAGGTTTCACCGTGTTAGCCAGGATGGTCTCGATCTCCTGACTCGTGATACGCCGCCTCGGCCCCCCAAAGTGCTGGGATTACAGGCATGAGGCCCACCGCGCCAGCCCCTTTTTTTAATTAACAACTTGCTTCATAGACTCACAAACTGGCCTTGTTGGCATTTGGTGAATGATTCTCAGCGGCTGATCACATATACAGAAACAGTAAGTTTGCCAAGTCACAATTAAGCACAAAAGGGAGCTGCAGAATAACACACACGGGATGCCACTTACTACAGAAAACACACACAAAACCAACCACGTTAGTCTCCCTGCAGATACACTCATAAAAATGTCTAAAAAGGCAGGGCACCGTGGCCTTATGCCTGTAATCCCAGCACTTTGGAGACCCAGGCAGGCAGATCACGAGGTCAGGAGATCAAGACTTACTGGCTAACCATGGTGAAACCCTGTCTCTACCAAAAACACAAAAAATTAGCCGGGTGTGGTGACGGGTGTCTGTAGTCCAGCTACTCGGGAGCTGAAGCAGGAGAATGGCATGAGCCCGGGAGGCGGAGCTTGCAGTGAGTGGAGATGGTGCCACTGCACTCCAGCCTGGGCGACAGAACAAGACTCCGTCTCAAAAAAAAAAAAAAAAAAAAAAAAAGTCTAGAAAAATACCCACCACACTAGTTAACCTGGACTACTGCTAAATAACGAGAGAGATAAGGATTTCAGTTTTGTCTGTTATCAACGAATTGTTTATAAAGGCAATGTATTTAAATATTAGTTATGTCATAAAATATTTAAGGTTCAGCTGGGAAAATGAGCACACTGCAATAGGCAAAAAATAACTTTAAAACAAAGGGGGCTGGCACAGGGTTCATGCCTGTTATCCTAGCACTTTGGGAAGTGGAGGTGGGGAGGATCACTTGAGCCCAGGAGTTTAGGACCAGCGCTGCTGGGTCACAATAGTTAAACTTCATCTCAAAAAAAAAATAATAAATAATAAAATATGGTCTAAATAAAAAACAGGCCAGCCAATGGCTGGTTCATGCTGTATCCCAGCACTTTGGGAGACCAAGGTGCATGGATCACTGAGGTCAGGAGTTCAAGACCAGCCTGGCTAAAGTGATGAAACCCCATCTTCACTAAAAACACAAAAATTAGCCAGGCGTGGTGGTGCGCACACAATCCCAGCTACTTGGGAGGCTGAGGGAAGAGAATCACTTCACCGGAAAGGTGAAGGTTGAAGTGAGCCAAGATTGTGCCACTACACTACAGCCTGGGTGACAAAGCGAGGCCCTGTCTCAAAAACAACAACAACAACAAAAATGAGAGCCGGCACAATGACTCAGATCTGTAATCCCAACACTTTGGGAGCCTAAGGCAGGAGGATAGCTTGAGGCCAGGAGCTCAAGACCAGCCTGAGCAACATAGTGAGACCATGTCTCTACAAACACAAAAATAAAAACAATTTTTTTAATTTAAAAAATTAAAACTAAAAACAAATTAGGATTACCACATGACCTAGCAATTCCAACCCTAAGAATATACCTCAAAAAATTGAAAGCAGGGACTCAGATAGTTATATGACAATGAACATTATTCACAATAGCCAAAAAGTAGAAACAACCCATGTCTGCCAACAGATGAATCAACAAAACGTAGTCCATCCACTCAAAGGAGTATCACCCACTTTATAAATTTCTACTTTATAAATTTCTCTAGAACATTTTTTTGTCCATGAGAATACTCAGAAAAAACAGTGAAGATATAAAGCTATACAACATGAGCAGTCCACACTCACTGCACCCTAGAAAATATTATGCACTTGAGACTCCATCTCAAAAACAATAAATAAATAAAAAGAAAGTCTGATGCATACATTTAAAGTCAGGATACAAAACCCAGTGCTTCAAAGCAGTTATCTCTAGAGGATAGGATGACAAGGGGAATTTCACTTTTTCTTTTTTTTTGAGACGGAGTCTGGCTCTGTCACCCAGGCTGGAGTGCAGTGGCACGAACTTGGCTCACTGCAACCTCCGCCTCCCAGACTCCTGAGTAGGTGGGACTACAGGCGCCCGCCACCACACCTGGCTAATTTTTTGTATTTTTAGTAGAGACAGGGTTTCACCGTGTTAGCCAGGACGATCTTGATCTCCTGACCTCATCATCAGCCCACCTTGGCCTCCCAAAGCGCTGGGATTACAGGCGTGAGCAACCGCGCCCGGCCAATTTCACTTTTTCTGTATTGTTTGAAGGTTTACAGTGATCATGTACTATGACCAAAAAATACAAAACAAACCCCAAAAAACTCAAGTTCCAAAAGTACTATGTGGTTACAGCCTTTCGGAAGAAGTTCTGAATTCCTAAAGCCTTTAAGAAGAATTTCACTTCATGGGAACAACTCTCCCAGCATTTCTAGAGTACTGCATTCTGTAGGGACTTGGAACACTCCAAGTTATGAAATAAATAGTGCTCTCCCAGCCTATGCTAATAAGGTATTTGAGTACTTTCCCTACATTACAGTAAGCAAACAACTGATGGACCAAAAAAAAAAAAAAACGGTTTTAAAGTGACAAGGTTCAAATCTAGGGTAATAAACGGCAAGATGGGAGCACTCACATGATCAAAGAAATGTACCACTGCCAGCTTTTTGCTGCGCCTGGTAAAGACGCGCTGCACTTTGGCAATTTTGCCGAAATGGTTCTCCAGAATGGTCCTGTCGTTGAGGTAGTCGGGGATGTTCTTGCACTGGATGGCTGTGACTTCAGAGGGACACAAGCCCCCAAGACTGTCTGTGCTCTCGCTTCTGTTACTCGGACGCGCCAGAGTTCCTCTTAGAGAATCTAGGGGTTCAGAGAGTGGACACTTAAACCATCAGATGTTTCCGACAACAGGAGGCACCAACTGTGTCAAAGCAGAGGAAATTTTCACAGATTTAAGACCTGCTCCATATGACGTGTTAGAATCCCTAATGTTTATGGGAGATTTATGTGAAAAATCAAGCTAACCCCCCAGGGAAACCTATTGACAACCTGCCAGCAGGATTTACTCTACGTTCTACATTTTCAGAGCTCACCTTCTTTCTTCTCTCTACTTTCAGTTTCTTCCTCTTTATTCACACCTGGAATCCGGGAAGGTGCCAGGACAGACTGACTCCCTCCTGGGATAGCCATGTGGTCACTTTCTCCAGACTCAACAAAGCCAATTTCCTTTTTGGCCTCCTTGTTGCCCAGACGACATACTTCCTTATTGCTTTTGAAAACATCCTGTATCGTCCGACCAAATAAAGTACCTCCCCGGGGTCGATTCAGGCGGACAGGTCGTTTGTCTGGAGGATGATCACCCCGGGACAGAGGATCCAAATCTTCTGCTGTCTCGTGGCCATGTCTTCTTGGGGAGCGATCCTGATCCTCCTTCCTTTTCATTCCTTTCATTAGGCTGGGAAGTGGTTCCACCTGGGAAACAGCTTCTTCACACCCCTGCCTGACACCTGCTTTGCTAGCCTGGAAAGGTTCGCCCAAAACCGCAGATGATACAGGGAAGCTACTGAAGCTATTACTAGAACTTCCAAATATTGACTTAGGTCCTCTCTTCTCTTCCTCTACATTTTGGTTTGACAAAGCAGGGGTAAAGGCAGATAATGAATTATTACTACTAACAGGTTTTGAAAAGGTAAAATTTGAATTGGTAGCTGAACTACTTGTTACTTGAGGAAAAGAGAATGGGGCCAGGCCTCCAGGTGCACTAATTGGGTGGGAAAACGTGAAAAACCCAGAAGCAATTTGGCTCTGGGTTTTCTCTGGCTCAGATTCAGCCCCCAGTATTGGTTTGAACACTGCATTTTCCAGAGGTTTAAAGCTGAATTCTGTTTTCCCAAAACCAGAGTTCACTATTTCTCCAGCTTCTTGTCCAAAAGCAGAAGTGCTTGGGAAAGCCCCAACACTGGTGGGTGATTTAAAACTAAATCCTGGGTTTCCCAGCACAGATGAACTTGAAGGCCCAGAGGTAGCCACAAAGGTGGAAGTGTGCTCAAGTCCAGAAAAGGGTCCAACACTTGAGGACTGGGTGAACCCTAATGTTTGCACTGAAGAGGAATGACTTACTCCGGAAGACGCTGGAAAGCTGGACACCTGTGAAAATCCCGAGCTCTTCCCAGATAAGGTACTGTTTTGTCCAAAAAGAGAAGGTTGACCAAATCGAAATGGTGACTTAGATGGAAGTGTTCCTACATTACTAGAAGACGCTGAAAAAGCACTAGCCTGCTGCCCACTGAAAGGATTAGTTGGGTTCATCTTCTGTTCCAATTATTAGAAGGTAATAAGTATTACGTGTGCAAAATTAATTGGCTTCCTGAAACAGCCCCGTAGCACTAGGGAGCTCCCCTTCGTCTTCAGAACACGCTGAAAGACAAAAATTCAGATCATCACAGCTATCTTCTGCTACAAGACTAAGAAAAGAATTTTTGAACACTGTCACACTAAAAGATAACTATTTCAAAGGCAGGCAAAGGGCTATTATTTTCCGAGAGCCAACAGGTTATTTTGCTGGAGGGTGGGGTAGAGAGTGGTACAAATAATTACTTTGTTACAGAGATTTAAAGCGTGATCCTTTTAAGATTAAAAAAAAGAAAGCCAACTCTTTTTACTGAGTTAGTAAATTCATGAAAAGCCTCCATTGGTAGTAAGAAGATAAATGCTGTTTCACCTTACAGCTTAGAGACGAATTTCTCCTGTCTTCCTCCAATCTCTACAGCCGGAGAATTCAGCGTAACGCTGCCTGGCTTCCCTCGGAGCGGCTGGAGCGCTAACCACTGTCTCACATTCCTTTATCGCGCCCTGGCGACCACCCTCGAGCCGGCTGGAAGGGCGAGGGCGCTGCCACGGAGCTGTGGCCTCTCGGCGGGGACGGCGTGCCGGGGAGCCTAATCTTCCACCCAGCACAGCCCGAAACGGCGGAGGCCGCGCGGTGGGCCCGGGCCGGCCTGGTCACTGTACTGCCCCGGGCTCGCCAGGGGCCGCCGGCGCCGCAACGCTCCGTTAGCGACGATGTGGAGGCCCGGGCGCGCGGACGTGCGCGGGGGAAGGAAACGGCGCCCCCGGCGCCGGCCCAGCCCCCACGCTCACCGTCTAGCCGCAGGACCCCGAGGCCCGCGCCGCCCTCCGGCCCCTCGGAAGCACTAGACGCGCAAACACAGGCCGCTACCGCGATACTCAGCCCTGCCCTCCGCGGGCAGGAAACGCCGCGGACCGACTTCCGGTTCGCTCGGCACTACCGTGTTCTGCCCCGCCCGCTGCGATCCGGTTCCGCTCTCCCCAACCGGCTCGGCGGCGGGGCTTCCGGTCGGGAGGGTCCGCCCGCTGTCGCGCCTTTTGCCGGGTCCAGACATCGGTACGTCTGGGCGGGTTTCTAGTCTCCCAAGCGAGAGCGTCGCATTCACCCCTGTCGGTCTGCGGGCGCCCCAGACCCCAGAGGACCTGGCCCCAGCGCTTACCTGTGTCCCCCATTCTGTGCTCCCCATTCCAGCCCGTTCCCTCCTCCGCCGTGTCCCTCCCCCGCACCCCGCTGCGTTCTCGCGCGCCTCGCCCCGCGCGCACAGTGCACCTGTCCCTTCTCTGGGAACCGCTCCTTCCGCTCCGCCCGCCTGGAGTCCCGGCCTGATTCCGCGGCGTCCTTCCATAGCCCCTCGTTGCATCCTCCTTGTGGTAAATGTAAATTACCTTAAGATTTTTCAATCAGTTCCACCAAATAAAGTGATTTGATTGCGTGTGCATGTGTATTTTTACAGAATGTGTTATCACTTGTACTGATTGGTCTTTTCTTACACTTTAACCCCAGGTTCCGTTGCAAACATTTTTAAAGGGCTGGTTATTCTTCGTGAAATGAGTTTGGTGATTAGAAACCTGCAGCGAGTCATCCCCATCAGGAGAGCGCCACTTCGCAGTAAGATCGAGATTGTAAGGAGGATTTTAGGAGTGCAGAAATTTGACCTGGGGATCATCTGTGTTGACAACAAGAATATTCAGCACATTAATAGAATCTACAGAAGTAGAAATGTCCCAACCGATGTGCTTTCTTTTCCATTTCATGAGGTAAAAAAAAAAAAAAAAAAAAGGGGCCTCTTGTCTAGCCTACCTTCCCAGAGTAAATTTCCTGTCTATTTTTTTTTTTTTCTTTAATTAAGACGGAGTCTTGCTCTGTCACCCAGGCTGGAGTGCAGTGGTGCGATCTCGGCTCACTGCAACCTCCGTGCCTGCTTCAAGTGATTCTTTTGCCTCAGCCTCCCCAGTAGGTGGGACTACAGATGTGGGCCACCACACCTGGCTAATTTTTCTTTTTTTTTTTTTTTTTGAGACGGAGTCTTGCTGTGTCGCCCAGGCTGGAGTGCAGTGGGCGATCTCGGCTCACTGCAAGCTCCGCCTTCCGGGTTTACGCCATTCTCCTGCCTCAGCCTCCCAGTAACTGGGACTACAGGCGCTGGCCACCGCGCCCGGCTAGTTTTTTGTATTTGTAGTAGAGACGGGGTTTCACCGTGTTAGCCAGGATGGTCTCGATCTCCTGACCTCGTGATCCGTCCGCCTTGGCCTCCCAAAGTGGGTTAATTTTTTTGGGGGGGGTATTTTTAGTAGAGACGGAAGTTTCACCATGTTGGCCAGGCTGCTCTTGAACTCCTGACCTCAGGTGATCTGCCTGCCTTGGCCTCCCAGAGTGTTGGGATTACAGGCGTGAGCCACGGCGCCCAGCCTAAATTTCCTGTATTAATTATATTATAGGCTAGGCTCTGTGGCGCATATAAGTATATATATTACAGACATGATTTTTAATTTTAATTTTGAAAATTTCCAAATATACACAAGAGAGAGCAGTATATTCAGCCTCCACTGATCGATGGCCGTCACCCAGAGGCCACAATTACACCGGTAAGCCAGCAGAAAAAGAAAGGTAACAGCTGATTTGATTGCGTGTGCATGTGTATTTTTACAGAATGTGTTATCACTTGTACTGATTGGTCTTTTCTTACACTTTAACCCCAGGTTCCGTTGCAAACATTTTTAAAGGGCTGGTTATTCTTCGTGAAATGAGTTTGGTGATTAGAAACCTGCAGCGAGTCATCCCCATCAGGAGAGCGCCACTTCGCAGTAAGATCGAGATTGTAAGGAGGATTTTAGGAGTGCAGAAATTTGACCTGGGGATCATCTGTGTTGACAACAAGAATATTCAGCACATTAATAGAATCTACAGA